CTGCAATTCCTTACTTCAATTACTCGGAGAGAATCGCAAATCAGTTTTGCACTACAAATGCTTTTTAGTTCTGGTAAATTTGTCAAGCGCAGTTCTGTCAACTTTGGGAGTTTGAACTCGGTGTTTCTGATGCTGCTTTCACCCGTGTCCCCTTCTTCATCCGATCTTGCTCCACCTATTATCTCCTCCATTTTCTCACATCCTTCAACAACAATCCATTCCAGGTTTACGAGGTGAATCCAGGAAGATGGAACAAAGATTTCCTTCATACTGCAATTCCTTACTTCAATTATTCGGAGAGAATCGCAAATCAGTTTTGCACTACAAATGCTTTTTAGTTCTGGTAAATTTGTCAAGCGCAGTTCAGTCAACTTTGGGAGTTTGAACTCGGTGTTTCTGATGCTGCTTTCTTCACCCATATCCCCTTCTTCATCCGATCTTACTCCACCTATTATCTCCTCCATTTTCTCACATCCTTCAACAAAAATCCTTTCCAGGTTTACGAGGCGAATCCAGGAAGATGGAACCAAGATTTCCATGACACTGCAATTCCTTACTTCAATTACTCGGAGAGAATCGCAAATCAGTTTTGCACTACAAATGCTTTTTAGTTCTGGTAAATTTGTCAAGCGCAGTTCAGTCAACTTTGGGAGTTTGAACTCGGTGTTTCTGATGCTGCTTTCTTCACCCATATCCCCTTCTTCATCCGATCTTGCTCCACCTATTATCTCCTCCATTTTCTCACATCCTTCAACAATAATCTCTTCTAGGCTTACGAGGTGAATCCAGGAAGATGGAACAAAGATTTCCTTCATACTGCAATTCCTTACTTCAATTACTCGGAGAGAAGCGCAAATCAGTTTTGCACTACAAATGCTTTTTAGTTCTGGTAAATCTGTCAATCTCAGGTATGTCAACTTTGGGAGTTTGAATTCAGTGTTTCTGAAGCTGCTTTCTCCACCCATAACCCCTTCTTCATCCGATCTTGTTCCAACAATTATCTCCTCCATTTTCTCACATCCTTTAACTGTAATCTCTTCCAGGTTTACGAGGCTTGGCAGCAAGACGAGGGGGAACAACTTCTTCATGCTTTGACAACCAGAACAATGAAGCTTTTTAAGACCAGAAAATATACCTTTGCAAGATGGAGATGGCAGTGAAGCAGAGCAGTACCAAGAAGATGAAACCAAGCTCTCCATGCTATTGCAATCCCTAATTTCGATAACCTCCAGATCAGTTGCATTCTTTATTAGAGAGGAAACATCGCATAAACTTTTTGCACCATCACATTCATCCATGGTCAGTTGTTGAATGTCCTTCCAAAACGTTCTCAGAAAATCTCCGTCTCCGTTGATAGTCAATTTACCCAAAACAATTACTTTGTCTTTGTCTTCTATACCATAATTGTAATTGTCATATAGCAGTCCTCCAACAATTCTATATTTTGTTAGTGATCGGGTTTTTGTTAGTGATCGGGTCTTATCCCGATAATTGAGATACTCCACGTAGTCAGAGTAACCTTCAAAATGGCATTCCAAAGTTTCCAACTCCCTCAAGCATCCCACTTCCTTTCCTTTAACTGTTATCGGAGTCCGCTCCTCCAATACAAAGACTTGCAGGTGAGAGAGTTTAGGTAATATCCCACTAGGAAACTCCTTTTCACCACATCCATTCATTCTAAGATACCTCAAGTTGGATAGAAATTCCATGCCTTGAGGAATCTTTTCAAGTGCCCAAGTACCAGAGAGATCTAACCTCTTCAGTGCCCTCAGCCTTTCTAATGACGGTACATGCCTTAACATCTTACAACCAATGAGCAGTAATGCAGTAAGACTCACCAATTCAGAGACAGAATCAGGCAGTTTTGTGATACCTGTATGAGACAGATCAAGAACCTTGAGCCCACGCAACTGGTCAAAAAATGAATCTGCAATGTGCACCAGTGGATTTCTGAGCAACAATAGAGTTGAAAGACTGGGACACCTTGGTGAATGGCTGGAAGGAATTTCTTTAATTTGGTTATGCATCAGTGAAACTCTAGTAAGATTCTCTGTCCACTCCTCTGCATCCGGCAATTCTCTTAACCGTGCACCTGCTTTAACCATGCATTGAGAGTTTTCTTGCAGTGTTTGGATGGCCATGTCCCTAATCAAGTCATGCATCTTGACATGTGTAGGACCACCATACCATTTCGTAGCACTTTCCAATAGACAGACACTTTCAAGTCTATTAAGCATCGTGTGGCCCTCGTCAACCGCTTCTTGCCTGCTCTCCATTCTTTCAATTACCCCCTCATCGATCAAATAATCTATCAACTTCTTCCTTACAATCTCATGATCTTCAGGAAATAATGCACAGTATAAGAGACACTGTTGTAGTGCTAAATCATGTAACTGGTCATAACTAAACCTCAATAACCGGAATACCTTATCTTTCATGTCCCTACATTTTGATTCTTTTAATTTCTTCAATGTATTCCTCCACTCATGTAGGTCATCCACTCTCCTCAAGCTTCCTGCCATTGTAATAATACCCAATGGCAAACCAGCACATTCCCTTGCAATATCCATTGCAATTCGTTCCACTTCCGGAGAAAGTGTTATGTCATGTCCAAGTTTCTCCCTGAACAAATTCCAAGCTTCACTCTTCAAAAGTGGCTTCATTTCGATTTCGCGTCGTCTATCCACCCATTGACAAACCCTTTTAGACCGACTTGTCATAATCAGCTTGCAACATTTTAGATCGACTGGCTCAGGAATTCCCACTTCGTGTAACTCAAAAGTGTTCCACAAATCATCTAAAATGAGAATCCATTTTTGTTTCTTCCTTAGTGCTTTTAACAATTTGACAGCTCTACACAGATCATCATGTTCGTTTGAAAGATCCAAGCCAAGACATTTAGCAATATGATTTTGCAATCTTCCAATACTGAAATCCTGAGACACAGTCACCCAGTACACGCAATGAGAAATGCCTGGTCTTTCTAGAAGCTTATTATGGATATGTTTCATCATTGTCGTTTTACCGACTCCTCCCATTCCGTAAATGCCAATTGTCGAGACTTCATCATCCATTAACCAAGACCATATCAGATTTGTATTCTGTTCAAATGCTTGACCCACTAGCTTTGTAGAGCTAGTAGGTAATGGATCTCCTGGAGTCTCATTTGTGTTGCCTGTAAGCCCTCCAGAAGAGCTAGCTCCTGCACCAGGCTGCGCTGCTCCTCCAGTCCCATTCTCATCGCCATTACGTTGAAGAACTTCACGAGAGCTATCTCTCACAACAGGCTGCCCAGGGTCTCCAACCATGTTCACTAGTGGAGGACAGAGTTGATCTTCTTGAGGCTCATCGTGATTAACAAGTGGCCTCTCATGAGAACTACCTCTTACAACAGGCTGCCCAGTTACTCTCTCCAGATGTTGCCCTTGCGGTGCCACATTGTCGACTTCAACATGTAAGCTAGTAGGTAATGGATCTCCTGGAGTCTCATTTGCGTTGCCTGTAAGCCCTCCAGAAGAGCTAGCTCCTGCACCAGGCTGCGCTGCTCCTCCAGTCCCATTCTCTATATCATCCTCCATTAACCATCTACTGAACTCTTCCACACTTCTTCCACGTGGGTGACCCATTCCATCCGCTGCTTGTGTCGTTCCTCCATCTCCTGCCAAATTTTCGACTTCATTGTTTTGTTCTTGTGGAGTGGTTGAAATGGCATTATCATTAAAATTGCTTGAACTTGCTATGCCTTTATGTCTTTTGTTGCCACCATGCACAGCTTGAAAAGCTGCTTCTTGAACGTCTTCAGGCACTTGTCTACAAATTGCAACACCACGCCTTTCCTCTCCTGACAAATGCCATTTGATCCTTGAAATGGAAGTAGCAGCAGAAAATTGGAAGCCACAAAATGTACAGTTGAAACTACCATCATCCAGCTTCTTAACATGATCCCAAAATCGATCCTTCCGTTTAGCCATTTTCACCGCTAACTTCTTTGGCCCTTCAGACATCAAATAAAAAATTGTCAAAAGTAGCGCATAAAAATGGATGTAAGCAAAATAAGAACTCAATCTTAAAATGAAAATTTAGAAGAAATCATTATTTTTTAAATAAGTAAGCAAAGGAAAAGAGTGCAAACCTCAATCTTACAAAACATTAATGCCGTTAAGTGTGTTCACAAAATAAACTGAATCTGTATAATTAAATCAATTATTACAAATTCTAAAATTAAATAGGCACTTCACTATATATTTTCCTATAGAGATGCACTTCAAGCAGATAAAAAAATTATAACAACTACTGAATAATTTAAGAAATTGTCAGAAAAGCAATCTAAGATAAAAATTTGGAAGAAACTCGGCTTTTTTTGAAGATAAGCAGTTGAAGTTGAAAGCAAAATGAACAAAGTTATAAAATGAGTTTGAGTTCTATATTGCATAGAACTCAAACTCATACTTTTATTTGGAAGAATCAAAACCAGTAATATTAACAATGAATTTGGTATGAACTCTAGAAGGCAAGGATTTTAAAAGTTTCTCAATAAGATTTGAACAGCTTGCGGTTTCCTAAAAAAGATTCAAAAACAAAGACAGTAACAAAATGAAGAAGATGAAGTATAAATACTTTACCTGGATTCAAAAGAATTTTAACAAAAGAATCTGAAGCCAATTGCTGAGTGAGGAAACGTGTGGACGCGCCCCAATGTTGAAACTCTGGGAAAGCTGATCTGAAAATGTAAGCACAAGAATATGAGAGAGAGTAGGCAAACTAGTCACCTGTCAAGCTGACAAGAGGCACTCAACAGACAAAAGAAACCTTGAGAGCAGCTGTTTTCAAGATAAATAGTTTAAGTTGATGGCAATATGTAAGAACAAAGCTAAATATGAGTTCTAGTTCTAAAATAGATCAAGCAACACATATATAATTAAGTTCTACTTGATTGATCAATCTACAATCCTACTTAATAATTCTACAACCAAATGGGCAAGTCTTATTTGAAACCAAAATTAGTGGTAGAAAAACAAGAAAAGAAAGTAGGATTTACCTTGCAAGCAAGAAAGATACAGATCAAGAACACAATATGAGATGATTCGATTCAATCAGAGAAGGAAGCAAAGATCAAGAGAAAGGTTTAAGAAATTTGGTGAGGGATATTAGGAAATCAATGGTATACTGAGAGAGAGATCTCTTAGTGGAAGACTAGCTGTTAAAGTCATTGCAATAGAATTTGGCAGGAAGCTACAACTTTATGTCACTTTCTGCCTGTGCTTTCATTGTCCTATATGCAAACTTGATGCCACTTTATGCTTTAATTGTTCACACTAACAATTCAACGTGTTCACATTACACTGCTTTAATTTTTTTAGATCAATGTGGTATCTGTTCTAGCTTTCGTGCATCGCTAGTTTACATGCTAAAACAACAGTGTTATGTACTTTTTTAATTAAAAAGCCAGAACAATTAATGAAGATCGAAACTCCAAAGAAAATCAGCTAGAAATAACAGTACTCCTCGGGTCAGCTGCTAGCATTGTTAAACATATGCTACTTTGTTGTTTTAGGAAACTCCACTTAGGAAAATTACGCATTTCCTATATCAGCATAAAAAAGGAACAATCCTATTTTGTTGTTTTAATGTAATCAGTACTGCAAACTTATTTTTAGTCTGTCAGTAACAGCTGATCTCGTGAAGGAAAGCACAGGAAATTAATTGATTAACATGAAGGAGGACTAGATAATTACCCGTTTACTCTAAAGAAAGAAAACAATAGGGCAAATCCCTTTGCTTTCTCTGTCCAATATGCAATTGTTACTCTATTTTCTAGTAACCACAATGCAAATTCTCTTGTGCTTTCGTTGTCCAATATGCAATTATTACTTCCACTGTCTCCTGAGAACCACCATGTAAAGGGGCTTTGTTTGTTCAAATATGTAATTATCACTCCCACTGCCCATACAAATTTCATGTCACTTTCATGAATCACCTGCTTTATTTATTCACACTAACTATTCAACATGTTTACGTACATTATACTGATTCTACTGTTACATCGAACATATGCTTTATTTTTTAGTCCGCGAGAACAATAGATGAAGATAGAAACTCCTAAGAAAATCAATTAGCCAGAAATATATGCTTGTAAGAGGGGCTCGGGCCAGCAGCTAGCATGGATCGTAAGTTTTGACATGGAGTCGGAACTACATGCTTGTAAGAGTGGGTTCTCCCCCTCTGGCACAGTTATCCTTTGGCTTTTGCACCAGCTCTACGGAGTGAAAAATATACTAAGATGATCAATGTCAGTTGTTATATGAGATCTCGTTCTTGTAAAAGCTAAAATAAGATCAAATCTTTAAATCTTAATTGGTCATTCACCATTTTTGTTATGGTTTCGTGCTTTGAGATTATTGGCAAATTAAAGCAGTGATTGAGTAGACTTGCGTTGTGGGATTGTGTAAGCTTGTATTATCATTTAATCTAACCGAATTGATGTGAGGGTTGGAATGTTCTAATCAAGATTTAGTCTCCGTGATCTCCCGTTTCCCTGATAGTTTTTTGTATTTCAACACACGAATTCTAGCTAGATGGTTTAACCGACCCTGACTTTGCTGTTACTATTTGCTTTTGGCAAAGAACTGGGATCATCAGCTTGTGTTGAATTTCATTATTCTTGCTAGTTTTTTAATGGTGTTCCAAGCAGGCAGGAGAGCATGGATACAGATAATTTATTTTTCATCCATCCTGCTGCCAAGAGATTATGGTGTTCAATCGAAATAGAAATTGCAGAAAGATGCTTTCCCTTTTGTCAATAGATTGCTTGTAATGGATTTATATACATGGAAGAAATGCCAGATTTCCCAATATTCAAAGTTCCAGTGCTTCTGTTTTGGTTGCTCAAATACTCTGGTACGGAGAGTAGTCCAGTCGATTTTTTATAAACTGAAAAGAAAAGAGATTTAACTTCAATTGTTTGACTTATTTAAGAAATAAAACCATTAAAAACCAACTATTATTCCTGCATACATCACATTGTTACACAACTATTTGTAGATACTCATGAAGCCATAGCTAACCTGGAGATAGAAAGCACACCCTAGCAAGTGCGTGTTCTTTTCCAGCAATCCAAACACCAGTTTATGACCAGTGCACATCCTCCCAGTCAAGATTCTCCTCCAACACCTGTTCAAAATCACAGATGTTGCAGTCAGCCTAGAAGGGAGAAAAAAACTGAAGAAAAACGTAGCTACAGGCTGAATACGAATTTCTTCTGCAGTCTCCTTATTTGGCTTCGTGAAAATATGCCAAACTTTAACATCTAAATATGAAAAGATGTTTCAAGGAAAGAAATTGAAATGAAGTACCTCAACATGTTCCAATGGGATCCCAACTGACTGCATGACCTTCTGCGGTTGTGGTTTCTTACAGCGAGACCACCGGAATACATCAAAAAGAACATTATCACAGTCGTGCTTCTCACCGTTTGAGGAATGTGGGTGGTGACTGGGGAACTTATCTGTCTCTTCATGCACCTGAGTGAGAAGCCTGTGTCACTTTCCCATTTTCTCTCCTGTAAAACAGAGCTCGTATCTTCACATAAGAAATCAAAAATTCAGAATCAGAACATCACTAAGAATTCACCAGATGAACTTCATGATTTCAATACCTCAGACTTGAAAAAAAAAATGCCCGTTTACTAAATATTTTACATATATAAAAAAATATAATTTTGTTTTCTATGCATGAGCAAACAAGAAAACAAATAAATGCCTGAAATTACAGAAGTCATCATCAAGAAATTCTGTGGCAACTTATAGCAAGTTATAGAAATAAATGAAAATCATACAATACAGAAGCTAAAGCAATTTTACTATTAAGACAAAAAAGCAAGTTATAGAAAGAAATGAAAACCATACAATACTGAAGCTAAAGCAATTTTACTATAAGACAATAAAATGTGCCTCCAAAACCTACGAGCAGTATCAAGTTAGAAAGTACACAGGAGAAAAAAAAGAGGGATAACTGCATGAATGTGTTTCTAAATATAGAACTTCCCCCTTCTTCAAACGTGTACAAGTATAGAGAGGCTTTTTCAGACCCTGTCAGCAACAATAATAATGCTGTATTTTATCCTGATACATTACGCAGGCATCAAAATTGAAACATTAATCATTTCACTGACATATAAGTCCAGAAATATGAGAGTTAATGGACAACAGCAGCGACAAGAAAATTGGAAAAGTGCGAACACCTTGCAAGGCAATGAAAATTAGTTCCCTCATAGATGAACAAAAAAGATAAACACTTAATGAACTATGTCATGGGAACAATCTAAACTCCACTAAACTGTGTCATGGAAACATTCCAAACTTCAGATAAGCATGTCTATTGGTTGGAAACTGTGGAGAGTTTATCGAATGAAATGTTAGAACAACTATAATAGATCTGGGGTGGTTAGGGCACGTGTAGTAAACTAATGCTACTACAGATGTAGAAATAGAGGATATCTGTAAAGTGTTGCTAAGCATAAAAACATAAAAAGCCTTTACAAACTTGGTAGCTATTAGTTTTGATAGACCAGAAAAATCCCATATAGAAAATAAGAATAATTCCCTAAAAGTCTATCAACTTCGAAACAATAAGATGAAACGATTACTGAAAGCACAGCAAAGATAACTGAATTTGTCTGGTGGAAATGTAATAAAATCTTTATGAGATCTAAGTTGAGATCTGAAAAATTGCAGAAATCATAGTTATCAAAAAGATCTAGAATCTACCAGGGCTCGTTGCAAAGGTTGCACTGTATTGTAACTACGTGTACAAATCTCTGTTGCCACAAAGCATTCTGAAAGAGAGAAGTCATCATAACGTAAGTAGATCCAAATAACAGAAAAAAAGTGCTTAGACAGACATAGTTTAGCCCTTTTTATTAGTAGCCAAAAACATACAATTATCAATGAAATAAGTGAAATCATAAGTCATAAAAGACAAGGGACAAGAAGCATGTCTGTGATGCATATAGCAGTTGTAACTTGGCACTTGTGGGAACAGGTACCATGAAACATACATTTGATTTGTGAGAACCAAACACAGTGAGTTTAAATAAGCAATGCAAATAACGGTGACCACCACCCAAAATATGAGGAGATAATGTGATTATGATTGGCCATACTTAGAAATCTAATGGGTCATGTTTGTGCTTCCATTCCATATTTACTCGGAAATTTTGTAATATTATGATTTCTTGACAGCAAATCTGATATGTAGACCTGGATGAGAAATAACAATCCAAGGGATGAGACTTTTACAGAATCTACTACTGCGCACTTGATTGTCTGAAAGAGATATCATCCTCCACAGGCAAGCAGGTCAATACTTGGCGCTGTGAGGATCATCTTTCCAATCGAGTTTGTTGTCGAGTTGAGTTATTTTACTTATTCAGTGTAGTTACAAAACTTTCAATTCCTTATTAAGGTGCATCATACGTATTAAGGATGATGCAGAAGTCAGCATCCTCGCAATTCAGGTTCACTCACTGTATAACAGTTAATTCTGAGTTCAGTAGTTTGATTCATCCTTTCCAATTCATACAAAACCTTTATTTCATCATCAAGGTGGCTCATATTAATTTGTATATAATAATATCTGAAAGTGGGAATCTGAAAAATAATTGAACAAAACATCCCTTTCAATTTTAAAAACAGATTATCCTTTTCTAAATCTTCAGTTATTTTGTTATGAATAATTAGTTAAACCTACTAGTCCTGATAATTAGCTAAATTATGTTGGCCCCTGTTGATTTAGACCCATCCTTCAAACAAGATGTATTACACATCAAGCAAGAAAAATCAAATACGATTGATGTA